TGCAGGGGTTTCCTGATCATGGTGGTGGTCAATTGGTTGGCCAAAGAAAGAAAGACAGAAAGTGCTGTTGTTGTTTGTTGGTTTGTTGTGAAAGTGTGAGAGAGAGCATTTGGCGGTGTTTACCTCGGCAGGTAAACTGCCTGAGTTCTCAACCCCTTTAATGCTATTTCCTATTTCCTATTCCGGTGAAGCCAAAGTATAAGGATAGAGATAGTCATAAGCCAACAAGACTGAACATTGATGGTTCAATACAAGTTAGGGGTAGGAATAAATCATTAATATTTAAGGTTAGTGCAATCAGCACAACAGCACAATAAGCCAGCAGGAGTTGTAAAGGTTAGAGTTACAATAAGGGAATGGCAGCTGGTAAATTATAGAGTAGCTGGCGACAACACACGACGGTCGCCAGGGCTAGCTTAATAAAGAAGGTTGCAATGAGGGAATGAATGATACCGGGCGGCAACACACGACGTAGTCGGGTGTTGTCGCCAGGGCTGGCTTCAAAGATGGGTGCAATCTCGAACATGATCCTCCTTCTTCTATCTGTCTTTCTGCCGAGGTATCGCAGCTCCCGCTGACTTAGATTTCAACCTCAACGCCCTCAAAAAACATTGGTTATGGGCGTGTCTGGGAAGTGAAATAGAGATTTAAAGAAATCAGTTACCGTTCTTTTAAAACCTATTTTCACAGAGAAACCAAGGACATAACGCGGCTTTGTTCGAAAAAGCCAGCCAAGTTGTGAAAAGAGGAGTTGAAGAGCTGTCGAGGCCTCCGTTTTGCCACAGATGACTTTGCTGAAGATTGGCCCATCATTCTGGTACAACAGGACGATCATCGCATTTTGCTGCCTAGCTAGTTACCTTAGCTTATGGTTACAAGTCAGACAATTCTACACGCCATACATTATCTTCTTCGTTCAGAGACGAAGAAATACGTAGCTAATCTCGTTTCAAGTACTCATAGGCATCCTTTGGATTGCAGCCCATGGCAATGTAAGTTGGGTACTGCCGTTTTTCAGAAGTATTGTTGATGATGGAACCAACAATAATGGCCAGGACATTACCCGCCAGGAGGAGCACGAAATGAGTCATGCCATAGGTGCCAGATGAAAACAAAAAGGCGGAAGCACCGGCGGGAGGATGGGTGATTCCGCAACGAGTCATGGCGCCAATCGCCAGAGATGTACCCAACACTTGCTTGAACCAAACGGGAAGCAATGGAATCACAGATATAATCAAGGCAATGCTGACAGAATGCAGCTGTCCCAAGAGACAGCTCCTTGGTTGAGCTGCCGGGGCTTGGGTCAAACCGAATTGCAGACAGATAAAGGCTGTAGTAATCAAGAAGACAAGTCGGATGGAAGAACAAGACAACAAAGGCAGGGTTGAGTATACTTGCTAGAAGCGTACACGTGATTAGTTGACTGTGCTGTCCCGTCATTTACTTACCTCCAAATGGTGGCATCAGCAACAGGTAGTCGCTGCCATAGCTAGTCACCAACGAGTGGCCAATACCGGCCGGCAACGTCAGCAGCACAAAGCTGCCAAAGAAGGAAAAGACGGCTTGTTCATTGGAAAAGGGCGGAGGGGGTCGATTGTCGGTTCCTTTGCACTTGGTGGCAACCATAGTTACAGCATTGCTGGCCTGAGCCAGTTGCTTCTTGACCACCTTTCCCAGAGACGCTTCCTTCTCTGCAATCGAGACCTTTTTGCCATTATTATTGTTGTGATTGGATGGTTCTTGGTCCGAGTTTTGAACGGGATTATCAAACCTGACACCAAAGTGAATCAGAGTAATGATTTGCAGTCTGGCTCGATGAATGGCGGTGTCTCGGAGCGCCTTGCGAGATTTTATGGCGGCTCTTCGGGGTTCTCGCAGCGACCAAGCAGCCCCACACAGGTCGGCAGCACAAAGCAGGTACTGCTCATTTCCAATTTCTTTCAAGAGCCCATGGTCTACTGTTTGCCGTGCCATGTAAATGACAATGCCCTTGTGATTGTTAACGTTGAATGGGACACCGGCTGCCCAACCAGACCCGAGTCTGCAATGGCTTTCAAGCGTTCGTCGTACGGCAAATGAGGATTGTTGGCCATGGCTCGAATGTCTCGCCAAACGACTTTGCGTTTGGTAGTGTCCCTGAGGATACCCCCTGCCACTGCCGTGTCCTCCACCGTGGCACTCTCACTCCACAAGACGCCTGCGAGACCAACACCTGGGGCTACAGGATCTGCGGGAAGAAACGTGGGATGCTCTGGGTCGAAGACTCGGCAGGCACTGCAAGTCAGTAGTCCCGAGCAACCACACTCGGTCTCCTTGTTGTGGAAAATGGGATCCATCCAGTATCCACCTTCGGGACGGACAAGTTGAGTGCCTTCCTTATTCAGAGTCCAAACTTCGACATACACAGTCCCCATGGAACCAAGACCTGCATCGGCGGCAGCCCGATGAAGAATATCCTCGTCCACATCCAGGTTTCTTCGGCTCATGCGCAGGTGGGAGGAAGCCCCAAAGCTGGCGTTGCTTCGTTCCAGCGGGGCAAGACCTTCTTCTTGGCGCACAAAGTCCTCCTCAGAGATAGATGACTCATCCGAGTTGTCGTCTGGCAGAGTGAAGGAGACTCTGGACCGGGCACTTCGGGAGAAGAGGTCCATGGTGGATTGGGTAGCCATTTTGAGGTACAGTACAGTACGATGATGTTGCGAGGCAACGAGAAAGAAAAGAAATGGAAGGCAGTCTGGAAGGCACCTCAGTGAAATTTGTGGTGTCACAATCAACGAAGCGATCAAATTGCTGCCAGTCCACTCATTCATAATGGCATAGCTATGACATCTCCTGCCTGGTACTGGTACCACTATGGCCAATATGTCTCCAAAACTGCCGGCAGCACGAGAAAGCTGTGTAAAAGATACACCGATCCTGCACACCCCCTCCTTAATTAATGTGACGTTTTCCTTTGACAAAGCACAGGCAATCAGGCCTTTCTCTGTGTTATCAGGACAATAAGCATTCTTTTCTTCAGGTCTGAATGTTATTAAATGAAAGGCAACTAACTATTAATAGTCCCCTTTCTTTTTCTGCTTCGGGTCTCGTTTGTTAAGCATGATATTTGTGATTCTTTGGGAGCACTGGAAGTACAACTTGGGACGTCCCAACCTTTCACAAAAGAGGACTTCGGAGTTCGGAGTACTCGGGGTACCTCGTATTTTATATAGCATTCCTTGAATGCTGGATCTCTGAAGCTTTTAATTGGTACGGTGCAGTACGGTACGGTACGTTGCGGTATGGTGCGGTACGGTGCGGTGCGGTGCGCAGGTACAAAATTCGGAGTACAAAATTTGTACGAAAACATGCATGAAAAACAACAAGGAAGAAATTTTAAATATAAAGTGTATTAAAAGGACTGATGTAGATTTGTTGCAAGAAGGGAAATCAAATCAGTTGTTTGTAAAAAACCATTACGAAAGTAAGAGCAAGAACTAATCAGTTTCCTCGTCAGACAGGTGCCAAGAATCTTCAGCAGGTGGGGAAGGTTCGAAGAAAAGAGAAGAATGATAATCAGATTTGATGAAGGTTGATTCAAGGTCGGATTCTGTCCCGGTCTCCTTTTCACCCTCAGTAGTAGTGGTAGTATGGGGGGGGCAAATGTGAAGACATAGTAGAAAGAGGCAGGAAAGGAATTTTGGTTTGATAGCTTTTGTTGGGGGCAATTCCATTGTGAAAAGGCTTGGACTTCATCAAGGTAGATTTGACAGGAACAGATGGACTAGTCTTGATAAGACCAAATGGAGTCATATTTGTTGTATAAAGAGATGCACGAGGAATTTTGGAAGCAACTTGAGTAGAACCAATTGTGGACTGCTCGGGACAACGTTTCGTTGTAGACACATGCGATGAAGGAGAAATCTTGGTGGAACTTGCAAGTAAGAACAGGAGACTGATAGAGA